TCTTGGCGGTCCCCCTGCAGGGCTGAGGGAGAAGGGCCACACCCCTGCAGGAGGGGAGAGACTGAACGGGAGCCCATCACTACGACCATACCCGGGTTCTCCTTGTACCATTTTTTGCCACGTTTCTGGAAATTTAAAATGGTCTTAAAATACAAAGCTGAGAAAATAAATAGACCCAGGTCAGAGTTTGCTCTCCAGGGACCATCTGTTGTTTGACCACATGAAAAAAATTAGAATTCCGTCAATTCCCCAAACACTGGGGGACAGTGCGTGAACATCTGGATTTCTGGTTCTTGCCAAGTGAGCTCTGTGGCCACCCAGGGTGGTGCCCGGGGCAGCTGTGTTCTTGCTGGGCTTTCCCACAGATGTGGGGTCGGAGAGTCCTGAACCTTCCCCCCCCTGGCCAGTCTGCAGATATGTGGGACACGGGCTTGCACAGGACTGTCTGTCATGGGGGACAGTGCGTGACTGCCTGAGCCTTCCCACTGCACGCAGCACCCCAGGCCTCTGGCATTTGGAAAGGACAGTCACCTCCATTCATGCCTGTGGTCCCCACAGTGGCCCTGCAGGGTAAGTGACAGGTGTCATTGCACAGGCACAGACATGGAGGCTCAGGGGGGTGAGGGCCCTGCTCGGGGTCACAGGCCAAGTGCGGCCGGGACAACTGACTAGAACTGGAGTGTTCTTTGCCTTCTGTAATGCAAACCAATGTGTCGGACGTCCCTAGGGGGTGTCTGAAGCACCATGAGGACCCTGTGAGTGTCCCCAGACTTGTCCCTCTGTTTCTCAAGGGCTCAGCATGGCCTCTTTGCAGAGGTAAGGGGCTGATGGTTTCTGGTCATTCTCAAAAATTAGCCTCCACATTTGTTCTGCAGCGGGTCAGGGCCTGGGGAAGACGGCAACCAGGAAGACCCGCCCCCTGGAAGAAGCTGGAGTCGGGAGGACCTGCAGGGTGGAGTGGAGTGGGCAGCCCAGAGGGACAGGAAAGGGCAGATATTGAGATAAAGAAGACAGGGCGAAGGATACTTCTGAAGACTCCATACGTCCACACAACCTCTCCCACTGGGGTTACCAACCCATTTTAGACATGAGGAAATGGAGGCCCAGAGAGGGTAAGAAGATTGTCTGGAGTCTCCAGCCAAGGAGGGCAGATATGGGGTAGGAACCCAGGACTGTTTTACCCCCAAGTCCAGGCTCCCCTTTGGGGACAGGGAAAGGAAACAACAAGCATCTTAAATAGCTCTGTGCCAGCATGATGCTAGGGACTCCACCTCCATCTTATCACTAGTGCCATCCCTATCAGCCTCAAAGGTAAAACGAGGCTCAGAGAAGTGAAGCAACATGCCTGAGGCCACACAGCCAATTCATCTCAGAGTGTAGGAATGGTTAAGCTGGACGCGGTTCTCAGTTTTTTCTGTGATTCCACACAGCTTCTTTCTCCTGGGAGGCCTGAAATGAGGCTGGGCATGACCTCCCGACAGGCTTGGGCTCAGAACTCCTGGAGGTTGGACCTGTCTAGCAGAAGGACTGGTGCAGGAGCATACCATGGCTAGGACCGTCTGTTATGGCCAAGGATGGAAAAAGGCCCCTAAAAGTGAGATTAGTTAGATCTGGTCGGGGGGATGGGATCATAGTGGATTTTGTTTATCTGAGATGGTTTCTGCAGTGCAAAACATAGCCCACCTTACAGGGCTGTGCCCAAATGGGCCAAGCACCATGTGGAATGGTGGGGGCTAAAAGATGCACCCAGGCAGAAAGGGGGTGATCCCAGAGGGCAGTGGGGGTCAGGGAAGTCTTCGCAGGGGAGGTGAGTGGATGGTCAGGAGATCTATGAGCAAAAAGGAAGGCAAAGGAACATCTGGGACGAGGGTCTGTCCTTAAAGGCAGGTCAGAGGGAACCAATCAGGTGGCACTGCAGGGAGGTACAGGGTGAGGGAGGGGGACGGTGAGCCTCTGCCTTCAGGGCTGAAAGGGACATCAAATGCAGTGCCCTCTCAGTGGCCATTTCACGGCCCAAGCTCATACTCAGTGACAGGGGACTCACTGCCCTGCGGACAGCCTCTGTTGTCCCTGAACAATTCAGAATGTTCTAGAATTATTCTCTTTCCATTTACACTCCTTCCTACGAGGCCAATTATACCCCTTCTGTTCCCTGGGAGCCTGGGCGGCCATCTGCCTTGGACCCTCCTGGAAACTGGGTTTCTGGTCACCAGGCTGCAGGCTCACCTGCGCCCTGGGGTGATTCTGGGGATCCCGACTCCGCCCTCCCTGCGCTCATGGGCTCTGAGCTCGCTGGGCACACTTCCCGCAATGCACCAGGACAGACTTGCAGGCCAGGTGGCCAGAAACCTGCCAGGTCCCCAGCCTTCCGGGGGCAGTGTAAACTGTGGAGCCCCCCGGGCTGGTCAGCACCCCTCCTGACCTCCCCAGGAGGACATCCCGGCGCCCTGGCGGGTACCTCCTGACAGGCAGAGGCTAGAGCCTCCTCCTCCTGCGTGGTCTTCCAGCTAACTGGACAGATCAAGACCAAAGCCTGGGTTCAACATGGGCTCAGGGACTCAAAGTGGCTTCCTGGGTCACCCCTCTGTCGTCTCCGTGCTCACAAGCCACCTGCTCCTGAGCCGACACCAGCCTGAGATTCACAGGACTCAGCCAGATCCCTACGGAGACCTGGAGGGCTCTGTATTTGTCCCCAGTCCCCAATCCTGCCCCACCCAGAGGGGAGGAGCCTCCAGGGTCTAAGGGCCCCTAGGCCTCAGCTCTCTTGTGGGATCCCTGGGCCTCCGGGGGCTTCTGGCTCCCCAGAGACATCCACAGCCCCTCCCCAGTTACGAGGCTTCTCCTTGGCAGGTAGAAGGGACGCAGAGATGGAGAGATGCTCCCCAAGCCACTGGGATCCCCCACAGCTCCCCACAGCTCCTCTTTTGTCTCCTGCCCTGGTTTTCTCCTCTGCCTTCAACACTCTTGAGGATTTGGTCTTTCTGCTGCCTTTGGGCCCTCTGGTCTCTGCTCAGAGGCTCCGTGGCCTGTGATTCACCTGGGCTGGCTGCCTGGCTCCCTGTCCACCTCTGTGCATCTGTCTTTTCCAGGGTCTCTCTGCACCTGTGCCGACCTCTTTGGCTGGTTTGTGATGCTGTCAAGCCAGCGATTCTGGACATTTTCTCTCCCCGGGCCTCTGCCAGCATCCTCCCTTCCCACTCCTTCTCCAAACTCTCCGGAACCTTCATTGCCCATCCACACAGGCCCATGCCTCCCTGCGGCTCTCGCGGAACAGATGACTCACCCAGATGCTTCCCCCAAGGATGCTCGCCTTGCCAACCACCTCATCCCAGAGGTCAGTGCCAGGGCCGAGGGGCTGTGACCATCTCTTGAGCTCTCATGTGACCCTGTGTTCCAAGAGGGTACTTAGGACCTTCCGTGGTTGCTCATTCAGACCCCAGGGCCTTTGCACTGCTGTTCCTCTGTCATGGATGACATTTTCAGGGTTCCACTTTTACAAAGCCCCTCAGAGAGGCCTTCCCTGAGCCGCTGAGGTTCCGACCCCCTTCCTCAGGGCCTCTTTCTCACTACAAGGGTATGTCTTCATCTAATAAATCATTATCTAAAATAAAGTCACCTACTTGTTCCTTTATTGGCTGTCTTTGTCACTAGACTCTCAGCTCCAGGATGGAAGGGACCTTATTTGTCCCTTGCACATGGTAGGTGCTTACTAGATGTTGGATGGATAAATTCTGGATAAATCAATTCCTCATCCTCAGTCTCACTCCTTTCTACGACCCTACCTACCCTACAGACCTGTGCATCTTCTCGGCTTTGCACATGCTCATCTCGGCTGGGAGGGCCCTTTCTCCACAATGGGGCTCGGTGAGCTCCTACTCAGCCTTCAGAACCCAGCTCAACACCACCTCCTCTGGATGCTTGGCTCCTCTCCTGGCTTTCATGTCTACTGTGGAACAGCTAGTTGTAGGTCTGTTCCCCCAAGTCCATCCGGGCGGGGGCTCCCCAGGGCAGAGGCTGGGTCTGAATCTGTTTGTGGGCATCCCTGTGCTCAGCCCGAACCTGTGCTGGACCACAAGGCCGTTTGGTTTCTCTGCAGGGAGCGTGTGTTACCTGGCCAGCGCCTCATCTGTGCAGAGTCTCCCCACCCCTTTTCTTGTCCCCTAGAAGCCACAGTAACCTTAAAAAAATGAAACTGTGATCAGCCCCTTCTTAAAATGATCCCGCCATCCCCATCACAGTCAGAATAATTCCCAAGTTTTTGATGCTGAGGCCTGGCCTCTGGCCCCTCCACTTCTCCGTTTTGCTCACCATCCTCCGGTGTGGTCCTGCCTCTGGGCCTTCATCTTGCTGTTCCCTCTGCCTGGCAGCCCTGTCTCTTGGGGGAGTGACAGGCTGGCTCTTCCTCACCCGGCTCAGCTCACATGTTGGCCTCTACAAGAGGCTGTCCCTGACCTCTCCACACCCCATCCTCATGTCCTGCTGGCTTTCTTCATACACCTGTCACTCCGGGCATGTCCACCTGGCCTCCCTCTCTCAATTCGCCACAGGCTCCGCAGGACTGGCCTTGCCTGCCTCAGCCACTGCGGTAGCCCCAGCACCCACCGTGGGGGGCCAGGAGCACACTAAGGGTCCGCAAAGATTGTCACCAGATGGATTCTTTCTCATGCCTGATGAGAAAGCGTTGGTGTTTGGCTTTTGAGTAATCCAAGTCACTAGAAGGTACGTTCCACGGGACGAGGGGTCACTTTGAAGTGACTGTGACAAGGTTGACTTTCTGCACTGAGCCAGCCCCAGGGTTCAGAGCATTGCCAGGTGCCCAGGAGGCTCACTGTTTAGTTTCCTGGGGTGAAGGGACGGCCTTCTCATTGAGGCCTGAGCTTCAGAGAGCCCAGAGGCCAGGACCAAGGTCCCTTGAGCTCCTTTGGCCTCATGAAGGGGACACTCGGGCATCGCCCTCCTTGTGGGGGTGGGAACCAGCCCACTGTGGGGCCGCAGCTCACCTGACAGCAGCATGGGGTCTTTGTCCACGGACTTGCGCACCTGGTCAGACTCCCCTGTCAGGGAGCTTTCGTCGATCTTGAGGTCATTGCCCTGGATGAAGAGGCCGTCTGCAGGGAGGAGGTCACCTGGTGGAGGAAGGGCAGGGGAGTTGGCCGGCCGTCTCAGGTGGTCAGAGAGACTGGGACAGTCCATGGTGTGGGAAGGTTCTCTGCTGAGGACCGGATGCCTAGAGCCCCCAGGGTGCCTGAACCAAGATGGCGCCCACCACAGGCCGAGGTCTAGCTCAGGACTGGGGCCAGGTGAATGGTGCAAGGTCTGGGGAGCAGAGGTTGGGCCCAGTGATACTGCAAACACAAATGGGCAGGTACTTCACAAAGTGCTTCTCTTGGCCTGGCCTGGAGTGCGAGCCCAGGTGGTTTTCTCCATGATTCACTCTTTTCCAGTCTCAGCCAGGCTTGGGGGAGATTTTTTTGGCTGAGACCAGTCTGACTTGGGTAGGCTGAGGGGATCCCCAACCAAGGCACCTCATCCGGGGGGGAATCAAGCCCTCTCAGCTGAGGGAGGAGGGACGTTCCTGTCCCTGCCCCATGGTCTGCCTCTACTTACCCAGAACATATCTAGTCAGACTCTCTTTGATGGCTCCTGCCCACTTTCCCGCTGGTAGTATTATAGGACCAGAATATTTGCTCATCTACTCCTGCTTCCTCTATCACCTCTGCTAGCCAGCGACCTTCCACCATAGCCAAATCAGGGATGGGAAATAGATCTCATCTCACAAACCCATTGGGAGTAGAAATGGTCCTTGGAATGTTGTGTTGAGAAGGCTTCAGAGCTGTCCCCAGTCTCTGGGCTGTGATCACTTGGTAATATCTGCTACGGGTGGGAGTTTGGACAGAAGGGATACATGTGCTAAGTACTTGCCGTTTCTGATCTAAATGGATTCTGGGGTCCCATCTCTTCTAGGATTTCAAGGACCCTGGAGCACAGCCTGGCTTGGGATGTGTTCAGGGACCCTTCCCTGGTTCAGCCTCTCTCTGCCTCTGCCTGGCCTGTCCCACCTCTGTCCAGACGCTGGGCTTTCGAACGTGGCTCACCGTATTTGATCTGGGCGATGTCCCCAACCACGATCTCAGCCACAGGGATCTGGACCACCTGGCCAGCCCGGACCACCGTGAACTTCTGCTCCTGCTCAATGCGACTCTGCAGGCCCCGGAACTGTTTCTCTTTGCTCCAGTCATTGAAGGCTGTGACCAGGACCACGCAGATGACGGAGAGGAGGATGGCGGCCCCCTCGATCCAACCTGCTTCTGCCTCTCCTTCATCCTCGGCCCCGCCCTGGGCCGTGGCACATCCTGCAGAGAGAGCAGAAGGGGTCAGCAAGGTAGAAAGGGCCTCCTGGCCTGGGTTTAAAGTCCAGCTCAAGTAACAAATATTAATAACCAGGTGACAATAATCCATTTGTTCAGCGGGTGCCAAGCTGGGGGCCAAGAGCCTCCTGTGGCTCAAATCATAAAAGACTCTGCCCATTTCACTGAAGTGGAAGCCGAGGGTTCTCGCCCAAGCTAGGAAGGGCAGGTAGGGTGCTCAGAAGTGACCTCAGGCAGTGTGGCTCAGGGCCCATTATCTTAGCCACTTCAGTTTCCTGCCTCCGTTCAAGCTGTGAGATCCTGGACATGTGACTTCCCCTCTCCAAACCTCAGCTTTCTCCTCTGTAAAATGGGAAGCATATTCTTTATCTCAGCAGCCTACTGTGAAGGTTGAAATTTAACGAAGGTTGAAATCTTGCACGGCCTGGCACAGACGGGTCCCCCTCCTCCACTCACATCCAAAATGGGGCCTAATTCATGAGAAAAGTGAAAAAGTGAGGTTGGGAGAGAAGGAAGGCAACCAGTATTTGCCAAAAAAGGGTAGTTTTGTTCATATCCCCTTTTTGTTCATTCAGCAATGGTGAGACAGACCCACAGGCAGTGGGGACAGCAGGGTGGTGGTCCGGTGAGGGGATTAGAACCACAGTCCTGGGCCTGCCCTCCAGTGCTCTGAGTGACCCTGGGTGACCCTGGGTGAGTCTGTCCTCCCTTGGCTTCAGGGGCCTCATCTGCAAAACAGGGACCACTGAGACCACTTCTCCTGGCCTGGGCTCAGCACACGGGGCTTCTCACCCAGCCCCTGTTGGATGACAGCTGAGGACAGGCCCCACTGCACAGTGAGGACTCCGACTCAGGCTGCAGGCTGCCTGTTTGACCTGCAGTGACCCTGAATCCCCCCTAGCACCCCTGAACCTCCAAGCTGGGCCTTTGGACTGCTCGAGGACTGCTAGGGCCCGTGTGATGAAGAGAGAAAGAAAACACAGGGTGCATCAAACCCAGGGCCTCAGACTTGGGTGCTCAATCCCTGCTGTGCTGAGGTGAAGTCTTCCTATCCTCTGCTGGCCTGTACCCCAAAAGGATCCCGAGAGCGAGAGGTGTCCCCCCTTGTGCAGATGAAGAACATGAGGCCCAGAGAGGTGAGGTAGCACGGCCAGCTGAGATCAGGACTTTTTATCCACTGGGAGTTGGAGAGCAGCCGTCTCCATGGAAGGGCCCCTGAGCAGTGTCTGACCATCCACCCCTGAGGAGCTCAGAGGGGCTCCCTTCCATGGGACCTAGACAGGCGGTGGGGAAATCTGCAAGGCCTACGGTGTGCCAGACATTTACTTTTACCCTCAAGCTGACGGAGAGAAGAACGGTGGTTCAGAGGACAGCGACTCACCTGGGTTCATGCAGCAGATCTGGGATTTGCAACCAGGACCTGGAATCTGACATCAGACCAGGCCTGCCCACTGCCTCTGTCTGCCACATACGGGCCTTCCAAGGGAAGGTTACAAAGACTCGTGGCTGACGAGTCTAGAAGCCCAGTTTGGTCCCAAGGAACAGGTAACAGTAGTTTCAAGAGACCCTAACATAAGTTTCTGGAAAACCAGGGGTTAGAAGCAATATGATAAGAAGGCCACATGGGAGTGTTTGTGGCACTCTGCTCATGGGCGAGTCGGGGTTAGGCTGGCAGCCCCGAGCTCGTGAAGGTAAAGCCTCACTGTGGCCGAGGAAAATTGCCACTGGAAAATTCCAGGTCTCAGGCTGCACCAGCTGCTTCCTGCAGGCCAGTCAATTATGTCACCATGTGGGGTTCTCAAAGCTACTTCTTCTCCCCCTTGGGAGTTTCAGGCATTTCCAATAACTTTAAACTGCTCAACCAGACTAGCCCTTGGGGGTAAGGTCATCACCGTTGTGCTAATGAGAACTGACGCTGGGCCAGCCGCGAGTTTGAATCCTAGCTGCACCACTTAGCTGCAGCATAGAATCCGATATTCTTGGGGCTGGGATTGTGGTTCAACAGTGGAGCGTCTAGCACATGCGAGGCCTTGGGTTCGATCCTCAGCACCACATAAAAATAAACAAATAAAATAGAAGTATTATAAAAAAAAAGAATCCTATATTCTTCTCATATGCAAAATGAGGGTGATGATGGGTGTTCCCCTCAAAAGGTGATGGAGAGGACTAGGGCAGGCCTTCATACGACACACTCACTGCAGGGAGCATACAGTGGGTGCTCACATGAAGCTGCTGCTGCTTGTTTTCCAGCAGATGGGCATGCGTGCTGAACACAGGTCCCATGGCCTGTGTGGGTAGAGTCTCGAGTCACCTGGTACAGAGGGGGGTCCAGCTGGATTTGGGTTTGATGGAGGCAGGAAAGGAAATGGGGAAGGTGGCCCTGGATCACCTTGAATGACATTCGTAGAGACCTAAAAAACTAAGAAACAGCCAGATGTGGTGGTGCATGCCGGTAGCCCCAGAGACTTGGGAGGCTAAGACAGGAGGATCGCAAGTTCAAAGCCAGCCTCAGCAACTTGGCAAGACTCTGCCTCAAAGTAAAAAAATAAAAAGGGCTGGGGGCAGGGGCGCTGGGGTTGAGACTCAGCGGTAGAGCGCTCGCCTAGCACATGCAAGGCCCTGGGTTAGATCCTCAGCACCACATAAAAATAAATAAAATAAAGTTATTGTGTCCAACTACAACTATAAAAAATAAATATTCTTAAAAAGAAGGGTTGGGGATGTGGCTCAGTGGTTAAGTACCCCTGTGTTCCATCCCCAGTACCATCAAACAAACAAAACATGAGAAACACAGATGCTCCTTGCTAGATGAAGCTCAGCACACTTGGCCTTCTATATTGGTGAGTTCCAACCAACCCGAAGGAAAAATAATAAAGAAAAATAATTTGGCCTGTACTAGCATGCATAGTTCTTTTCGTTATTATTCCCTAAACAATACAGTATAACAACTATTCACCTAGCACTTACATTTCATTAGGTACCATAAGTCATTGAGAGACAATTTAAAGAATATGGGATAATGTGTGTAGGTTTTGGGCCAGTACCAGGACACTGTATAGAAGAGACTTCGCATCCTCGGGTTTGGTGGCCACATGGGTCCTGGAACCAATCTCCCATGGGTCCTGAGGGGCGACTAGGCTGAAATTCATGATTTTGGAGCTGAAGGGTGGACGGGGGAGTCGACATTATAGACAGAAGCCTGCTGCTTTGTTTCACAGGACGTCTGGCGCCTGCCGCCTTTACGTGCTCTGTCATGGAGAGGCCATTTCCCCTGTCCTGTGCTTCCTCCATGGGCCCCTGTGAGAGCAGTTACTGGAGGATTCGGACGCTCCCTGACGAGGCGGTAGAGAGCTTGTGGGCTCTGGAATGGGAAAGACCTGGCTTCAGTCCCAAGCTGTTCCGTGTGACTTGGCCTCTCTGAGCCCCGGTTTGGAAAGCTGTAAAGTGGGATGGCCCCAGGGGCTTGGGAATCCAGGGCCGACCATATGGTGGACTCATGAATGTTGGTCCTCCCGTTTCCATGATCCCCTCTTCCTGAACTGGCTCACAGAAGCCCAGGGCATGGTGGTGGGGTCTGCACCCTGTTCCCTCAGCTCTCAGCCCTGTCTGCTGCCCTTGCTGATTCTATATTGAGGCGCCTCTGCGCCTTGAAGGGCACTCGCTCTGCCAGCAAAGATGGATTAGCTTCATCTCCTTTTGAGAACTGTCTGATGGTCCCATGGTGCCTCGGGACAGCCAGAAAGTAGATCCCTGAGGTGGGCCTTCAGCCACCCAGGAGCTGCAGGACCCTGGAAGCGACCCCTGTGCTCTGGTGCAAATAGTGGGAGAAGAGAAAGGAGGGACGAGGCGGGTGGGCAGGTCCTGTGGAGTCTCCCCTGGGCCCTTGGACTGGGCTGGGGACAGGATTTGGAGACTGTGCCTTCAGGTACAAAGTGATGTGGGTGAGGGAATCACAGGCTGTGGAGTGTCCACAGTGTCCACAGCCCTTCTGATTGCTTTCTTGCTGGTGGCTGTGATTGCTTCACATAGCAGAAGCCATAGAGCCAGCTCTCAATCCTAGGTCTTCAAATCCTAAATTGGGGATCCTTCCAGACAGCTCACTCCCATCCAGCTGACCTAGTTCATCTTCCATGGTTTTGGGGAGAAAGGATAAGAGCCCTGAGTGCCCTGGAGTTGAACATTGTCAAACTAGGCAATGTCAACAGAGTAATGATGTCACTACTGGACAAGGGCACAGGTCAGTGAACAAATCTTGACTGACCCCTGACTATGGGCTAGATGCGATGCTCTACTCCCTGCACACACTAATCGCATTCTGCACATTTGTGCTGGGCAGGGGTCACCTGCCCCATTCTACAGACATGGAAAGTGAGGCGGCACAGGGAGGGTCACTTGCTGGGGACTCTCTGTGCCTGGACATTGCTCCACGTTTCCCATCTGCTGAGAGCAGGCCTCCTTCCTCCGGCGGGCGTGTGGTTGGTGGGGAACAGCCAGACCCCAGGGCTGCCCGGGTGTCGCATCCCTCTGCCCGCCCAAAACCTTTTCTTGGAAATGATCCCAGAAGTGTGTGCCTTTCCTCTCTGGCCCTTTGAGACCGTCCCCACCCAGGGAAGCCCGAGGCCTGGCTTGGGGCCACTGTCCCCATCTCTGGGAACCATTCCAGGCAAGTATCCTCTCCTCCCAGAGCTTTAGTCCCCTCACCTAGAGGTGGCAGCTGGGGATACCATGTGCCTGGTTACCGTAAGAGCTGGGGGCTGCGTGCGTCAGCGCTCAGCATGGAAGATGGTGGTGGGTGACTGCGCCAGGTGCACACTGGGGACTCGGGAGAAGCTGGTGGGTGCTGTCCAGCTTTCCCGGGGGCATGGTATAAAGAAACTGCCCACTGCCTTCTCCCTCCCTCCCTCCCTCCCTCTGCCTGCAGGGCTCCATTCAGGTCTGCAGGAGAAGCAGGGGCCCCTCTCTGGCTCCAGTGGGCGTCCCCAGGAGCCATACCACAGTGCGGCAGGCACCAGCGCCAGGCATGGGGATGTGGAAATTGTGGTCTAACCTGCTCCCACTGCTCCTCTCTGCTGTGCAGCAGAGGACCTCAGAGTTGGGTGCTGCAGAGGATGCGGCTCCATCTACCCACGGGGGCGGCAAGTCCGGGTCCCGAGTGCTGGCTCTGCTCGGGCTCTCTGGGATGTGCTCCGGGGTCCTGCATTCCCTCCAGTCCTCACAAGGGTCCCATATAGTAGCTTCTACCCCATTTTACAGCTGTAAACACTGAGGCCGCGCATCGGTATGCTGGCCTGTGGTCCTGCATTGGACATGCAGGACTGGGCCCTGAGCCCAGGCTCCCACCCGACTCTGGTGCCTCCTGGCAGTTGGCAGCTGGCATTGAGAGAAACCAAGGCCAGAGCCTGGGCTCTCAGAAGAAGGACCACCTTGTGGGGCTGTGGCTCCTGCAGCTGCCTTGGACCCAGAGTGTGGCCTGCATCAGGGCCCCAGCCAGAGGCAGAAAGGGAAGAGGTGTGAAATCTCGCCTTGCTGCCTACACCTCAGGGCCTCAGGCAAGTCCCTCCCCTCCAGGGGCCTCATGTCTGCACCCCTGAGTTGCATGCCATGGCGGCCAGCCCTGGAGCTGAGGGGCAGCTGTCCTAGAGCATGCTAGATGCCCCATCCATGCTCCCCCCTCCCTGCCAACACCTGCTCTCTTGAGCTCTAGGCCTGCACACCACTGGGTCACACAAGGCCATCTGTCTGGGTGGCAGTGACTCAGTCCTGTCCCTCTCTGAGGAAACACAGCCAAGGGACAAGAGCGAGGAGCCAGAATGCCTCCGTCTGAGTCACGGTACTGTTGCTTCCTCGCTGTGTGGTTTAGCCAGTCTTAGCATCCCAGGGCCTCGGTTTGCTGGGTAATAATAGGACCTACCCACAGGGCTGCTGTGAGGACTGAGGGTGAGAAATGGACTTCCACCACCACAGCTCCCAAGTAGTGGCAGCTATAAAAATGCCACAAGTCTGATCATCACTATGTGTTTGTGTTGTATCCTTAGGTTTTGTTCGAGGCTTATTCAAGTAGCTATATTTAATCTTCTTCTATGTTTGCTTTGACATCTCTGCAGAGAAGGCTGCCCATCATGCGTCTCTGATAATGTCCTATGGGAAAGTGCATCCCAGAATTCATTGTCAGGAAAAATGTCATCTTCCTCCTTGTGGACAACTTGAGCTATGCAAATCATCTGAATTCCTTTTCTTCCCTTACTGCTGGGAAGCTCATGTCAAACATAGATCTCAACCGTGGTAGCAACTATAGCTGGCTTATTTGCTTCCATCCTTTTCCTGTTCGCTTTCTGTGAGATGTGTCCCTCTTATGTCTTTATATCCATTATGGAAAAAGTTAATGTGGGGAAAAATTAGCTTATTATTTTGTATAGGATTGAGGTAGTTGTTCTAATACATCTGGTTATCCAATTTCTTGAGCAACTTAGGTTTGGGAGGGGGCAGAGCAGCACATGTTCAAGGGACCTCAGAGATTACATCTTTAATTGGAGAAAATCAGGCCCATTATGGTTATTTCTTACATACTACTAGTATTTTTTTTTTTTTTTTTGCTTGCCGGAAGTAGTGACTGTAGGATGATCCATGTACACAACACATTTGTCAGAAGATGCGTCATCATAATTATAACAAAAGAAAGTGTTTGCAAGGTCTAACTGATTGAAAAAAAGCACATTATAAAGTGATCAAACAGCAAAGCAATATATCTTACATAATCCCACGTATCCACGGAGTGTGTCTAGCTACCTGCCTGCCTCTAGGTCACAGAGGGTTCTCTCTGGGTGGCGGGGTTACAGGTGGTTTTATTTTTCTGCTTTGTGCTTACCTACATTTTAGACTTTTCCTATTGTGAGCTTGCATACAATGAATCAATATGTTAATTGTGTGAGTTTTTTTCCTATTTAAGGAAATGCCCATCAGGGGAGGTTTGAAGTCTTGGCCACCATGCAGGGGAGCAGGCATGGAGTCAGCCGGTGCTCGGTGGCTGTCTTTGGAGTGAAGGATGAGTGGAGGTCAAGGTTCTCCGTGGGAGCCATCCGTCCTGGCTCTGGGAAGAGTGGGTTTGCTCCAGTTTGTCCCACCTCCCTAAGAGGGTGAACCAGCTTTTCCTTGGTCCTGGGAGCAAGGTCTCACTCTGCCTGTGAGAAACAAAGTCGGCGCCTATCCAAGTGTGTGTCGTCCACGGGCCGACTTCTGGGACAGGACCACGGAAAGGCAGAGGTGCAGAGGGACCGAGTGGCATTTCACACAGGGCACAAAGGAAGTGATCAGAGATGAAGATCTGAGAAGGAGGACCAGGGCAGCCACAGCCCTGGAAGTGGCAGTCCAGCACCCACCACGAGACCCTTTCTTACCTCTGCACAGTACCCATCTGAGGAAACAGAGGATCAGAGAGGGTATGTGGCTTGCATAAGCTGGGAAGCAGTGGAGTGATTTAACCCAGGGGCATGTGACTTCAGAGGCTGTTTTTTTTTTTTTTTTTTGGATGGCAGGGGGCAGTACTGGGAATTGAACCCAGGGGTGCTCTACCACTGAGCTACATCCGTAGCCCTTTTTGAATTTTATTTTGAGACAGGATCTCACTAAGTTGCTGAGGCTGTCCTCTAACTTGTGATCCTCCTGCCTCAGCCTCCTGAGCAGCTGGGATTACTGCACCACCACACCTGGCCAGAGGTTATGCTTTTAATCACTTCATTTTATCTCCACACCCAAAGGGTGTGTTGGAGACAGGATGAGAGAGAGAGAGAGAGAGAGAGAGAGAGAGAGAGAGAGAGAGAGAGAGACGTATCAAGACAAGAGTGGAAAGGGGAGAGAGACTGATAGAGAGAAAAAATGAGAGAAAGATTTCAAAACTTTCTATCCCACTCTTTCTGGACAGAGGTGGAAAAGGCCCAACAGGAGGTACTTTAGGTCAGCCCCCGCCCCCGCCAAGTGAAGGCCTCCGCAGGCAGGCGGAAGAGTAACGAGAATCATCAAGAATCATACAAGGACAGGGCCGCCCAGCCTTGGCCTGAGCAGCACAGTGTGCCAATCCCTGCTGCAGGAGGTGAGGTGCAAGGAGTCACCTCCATGGTGAGCCAGTGACTTGGGGGGTTCTGGGAAGAAACCCAGTTGGAGAGTCCCTCAGATGTTGGTGTGCCCCCAGGACAGGGACCCCAGAGGGATCCGTGAACAGGGCTGAAGCACCATCAAGTCAGCGGGTCAGGAGTGCACAGGGCAGACGGTTCAGGCTTTGTCCCCAGCGGCGAGTGCGGGGAGCCCTTGCAGAGCAGCCTGGATGGATGTCGGGGTCACCGTCACCCGGTCTGCAGCACCCATCTTCATGAACAGCATGTGACTGTCTCAGGAGGGACCTGGCCCTGGTGTCTTAACAAACTCCACAGCAAAACCCGAGGACTCTTTTTAGCTGGGTGCTGTGGTCTGGAAGGTCTCCCAGGTCCTTGCTTTGGGAATTTAATCCTCACATTCGTGTGTGGATGGGACCTGGAGGTGAGGCTTTTGGGAGGTGACGAAGGTCATGAGGATGGGGATCCCGTGACGGCATTAGTGGCTTACGGGAAGAGGCCCAAGCTGGCAGCTTGTTCTGCCTCACTATTGGGTCCCCTTCGGCCACATGAAGATGCAGCAGAAGGTCCCCACCAGACGGTACTGGACTTCTAGCCTCCAGAAACATGAGAAGTCAATTTCTTTTCTTTAGAAATGACCTTGCCTGTGACATTCTGTTCTAGCAACGTCAAACAGATTCTGGGTAACCTCGAGTAAGTTAACCCACTTCTCTGTGCCTTGGTTTCCTTGTCTTTCTGATGGGCACAATGATGGCCCCTTGCTCACGGGGTATCTGGAAGACAGCTCAGCTCAGAGCTTGGCACACGGTAAGTGCCTAATAAGTGCTCGTGGTGATCACTGTTACTGTTGGTCTGATCCTTGCATTTCACACAAAGGAAGACTGGATACTGAGGGCTTTAGACTGCTGCTCATTCGGTGTGTGTGAGGCCTCAGTTTCCTCATCTGGAAGCAGTGGTGGCCGTGGGCCCTGGGTGCCCTGCGGTGTGGGCACTGTGGCCAGGAGTGCATGCTCCATGCGGGGCGGGGATCAGGGGGTCTGAGGCCCGCCAACCTACCTTCGTTGCTCTCGCCAGGCGGGTGGTAGAAGGACAGTCCCAGGGAGATGATGGCCGCAATTTCCAGGATGATGAGCGTCACATCCTGCAGGGCTTCCCACACGAGCTGCAGGAAGGTTTTTGGCTTCTTTGGAGGTATAAAGTTTTGCCCAAAAATCTGCTTCCTCTTTTCCAGGTCTGGGGCGGTGCCTGGTAAACCTGTGGACAGAGTGCAGAGAGGTGGGCAGGGGGCCCTGGAGGGACGCGTGTGTGTCCCCGAGCACCGACATCAGCCCCCAGCTGGGCAGAGCGTCTCCCCCGGGGCCTCTGTTACCAGGAAGGACCGGGTCCCTCCTGTGGTTATGGAAGGCTGCACTAGAGTGGGAACAGGAGGCTGTGCCGGGTGCCCCTGCACCATCGCCAAGGTGAACCCGGGGTCAAGAGGAGCCGTGAGAACTGCATAAGATAATCCATGCAGTCCAGGACAGGGCCAAGAGCAAGACAGGAGGTGACTTCCCGGGGCCACATATGGAAGGTGCTGGAAGCCACATCTGGTGGGTGGGAGATACTCAGCTGGGCTGGGCCAGAGCAGCGAGGGGCAGCCAGATGTCGGCCTCGTCATGCAAGGGCTGGATGGACGGCGCAGCCAGGTTCACGGCTAACTCACTAGTTCTTCATTTCCAGATAGTTCCTCCAGCCTCAAGAGCCCCACCCCACCTCCTTCCTGCTCAGCAATCGTGGGAAGCATCCCATTATCTTCTGGTAACTTCTGATCTATGTCTGTGGCCCTAGCGGTCACCACTGAGCCTCACCCCACCAGGGCAGGCAAGTCCCTGGCGGGGAAGGGCTTCCCGTGCCCTCTGTCTGCTGGCCCCCCACAGAGGTCAGCCCTTCCCACGTTGCTGTGTCATTTTGTTTCTCTGTGACAGCTCCTGCCTTTGTTCCTGTGGGCCAGGGACATCCTGTCCTGCCATCGACACCGGGTGCCGTCCTCAGCCTCTCTGAGCAGCCTCCCCTCTACACCAGGTGGACAGCAGCCTCTGCCCTTACCTCTCCCCCGCCCTGATCACAGCAGGGCTTATGGGTTTGCTGGGCCAGTTGGTTTTGGGGGCAAAGACTGGTCTGATGCCTATTTCTCAGAGCCTGGCACTGGAGGTCATGGCGGAGAACGTAGCACGAATGGCTCTGTCAGCTGGGCAGGCTCAGCCACATCTCCCCTGTGGCTTGATGACAGCTGGATGGGGACAGGGAGGGGCACAGACCTCTCACTGGACCTCAGGCCTCCAGCCCACTACTGAGAAGGGAGAACTGGAAGAAGCCCAGGGGGGCTGGAGTGCTCAGTTGTATTCAGGGGAACTTAGTGGACGAATATATGACATGGCGCTAGGACTCCAAGTCTGTCGTTCATTGGCTCATTCATCCGTCCATTGGCTCAGTCTGTGTCTCTTTCTGGTACCAGGGGTGCTTAACCACTGAACCACACTGCCAGCCCTTTTTATTTTTTTTCTTTTGAGACAGGGTCTGGCTAAGTTGCTTAGGACCTCGTTAAATGGCTGAGTCTGGCCTTGAACTTGCAATCCTCCTGCCTCAGCCTCCTGAGCTGCTGGAATTACAGGCATGTGCCGCCACCCCCAGCTCAATCCCTATGACTGGAGCCCCTGCTGTGGCCAGCTTGGTGCTGGGCACTGGGGAGAGGTGTGCATGGGACATCCCTGTGGCTCATGGACACAGGAGCTCAGGGAGCTGGGAGTCTGGCAGCCTGGGGTTCAGGGGTGCAGGGCAACAGGCATGTTCCGTGTCTGGAATTCCAAGTGCAGAGCCTCCTCTGAGTGACTCCTCTGACCCACAGTGAGCCCTCCATTGGGGGCCCGAGAGCCAGGGGGCTGAGACCCCAGGGGAGGACTGCACGTTCCCAGGAGGCCCTGCACCAGCCTCGCCTGCAGCATGGACGCTCTGGACAGCTCTCGTCCTGCTGTGCAGTGAGAACGGGGGAAGCCACAGCCCAGGTGCGCCCATTTTATGGATCGGGGCCTGAGGCTTCCCAGTCACCAAGCTGCTGCCTGGGGCTACTCTTGGGCTGTGCAAAAGGCCAGCCCTGCCTTCTCAAAGCATGTGGAGATGTCTCCACGGTCCCCTGCTGCGGTACCCATCAGGGGTAACACCTGTATTTGAAGCAGAAATTCCAGAAGCTGCAGGAATCTCCCTCCACGTGTCCAATTGTGCCCACAGCCAGGGTCTGAACTTCCTTGGGCTTTATACTTCTCACCAAAAGCTCTGATTCCTTTAGACGCCCAGAGGGGAGAAGCCATCATAGTTCTGGTCACCGTAGTGTAAGAGCTCCAGGTCCCTCTCTGAGTGTGTTTTGATGGGGGAGGGAAGCTTGGGAGGGTGGTGGACCTCTGATGGAGAGGCCACGATGGCCAACACTAGCCTGGTGTGGCAGTTCGTTGTGCCTCAGGCCACTGATGTCCCTTCTCTGAGCCTCAGTTTCCTCATCTTGCTAACGGGGGAGTTCACCATGATGGGTGAGTCCCTAGGATCCCGGGGGTCCAAGGTTCGCAGGCCCTGAAGTGGTCCTGCTGGGCTCTGTTTTTACCTTTAGGGGCTCTTTGTGAGGTCTGGTGTAAATAAAGGGCTTAGATCAGAAAAAGATGGGTTGGGGGGGCTGCTCAACTTCTCTCCCCACCCCCCTGATGGGCAGAGACACGAGTCTCTGAATCTTGTGAGGCTCTCGGTTCAGATGCGCTGGAGTCTGGAGTGTGAATGGTTGCTTGGTCATGCTCTCGGTTCCCAAAGTCAGGCCACAGCTCTGGGAGGTCTGTCGTGCTGGGGACCCACACACTAGGCCCTGCGATCTGGGGTTCTGGGACAGCAGACAGGGTGGGGACTCCAAATTCAAATAGCTGTAGGTGCTGCGCAGGTTTGGGGAGTGAGAGGAGTAGCTGGGTGGCAGACAGTGGGGAGTGGTGGGGACTGGGGCAAAGAGAACACTGACCCTTCTAAAGGGGCAGATGTTTCTAAGGGCCCCTGTGGGGGAATATGCACCCAGCGAATCAGATCTTCCAACCTAGGAGAAGGAGGACACCTGGAACTTGACAGAACATCTCCCCAGTGAAGATATTTCAGAGCCAAATACAACAAATCTATGGGTGGGATTCTGCCCGAGGTTGCCAGTCTGAGACCCCCCCAAGGCTATGGGTCGGAAGAGGGAGAAGGCTGGGAGGGAGGGGCCAGGGCAGAGAAACTTCTCTCTCCCTTCCTCCTCTTTTCTGGGCAGCACCCCCCTAACACCAGGCCCTGTCCTGTTCCCCACAGGCTTCTGGGGGCCTCCTGGGTTATTCCCATGGTCAAAACTAACAGGAAGTCTTCACAACGACAAATTCCCCAGAATATACACCCTCAAGTGGTTAGGCTCACAGGGTCTCCGAGTTGGCTCATGGTAGGTCCTGGCATCTCACTCCTGGGCCATGTTGGAGCTGGGGATGCCAAACCCCAAGAACTCAGGTGGGTTTGGACTTGGATATCCTGTGTTCAAATCCCAGGTCGGAGTTACTCTGAGTAAGTGATTTTGCCCCTTGGTCCTCAGTTTCCTCATCTGTAAAACACAGGCAATAGCAGGGCCCACTTCCCAGGGTTTGGGTGCAGCTGCCGTCTCCACATTCCATGTAAGGGCCGCAGAGCTGGGTCTGGACCCAGGGGAGCGTATTGTATTTACTACTGACTCGTTTGGGGCTGTACGTGTGATGAGCCCAGCCCTCCCGAGGAAAGATGGCTCGCCCAGACAGGGTTTCCATAGGAGAGGGGAACTCAAGGTGAGGTGAGGACAGCAGAAGGGCCTTGGGACTGCAGAGAAGCCAGCCACTTCCTCTCTGTGGGCCTCAGTTTCCCAACATGGGACATGAAGGGATGGTCTAGAAGCGGGTTGAGGGTGGGTGACTCTGGAACCTTGTATGCAAAGACAGTGGGACGCTCACCTGGTCTAGCCCACCCTCCGTGTCCTTCCCAGGACTCTCAGTCTCCCCACCTTCCTGCTAGATACCAACATGCCTATTTTGGGGAGCAGACACAACAGAGACTGGGGTGAGGGATGAATGGTGTCAGAGATTCAATTTAGATTGTGGAGCATCTCGCCACTTAGCATATTAAAAATTAATACAGTGTGTCAAATGTTGTTGGACCCACCAGCAAGGGTCTAAAAATTCAGGAAAAAAAATGCGCAGGACAGAGGCTGCATGGGGTGTGGGTATTCAAGTGAGAAGTTTCTTTTTATTTATTTTTATTTTGTGGTACAGGGAGTTGAAGCCAGTGGCTCTTCACCACTGAGATTCATTCCCAGACCTTTCTATTATTATTATTTTTTTTAAAATTTTGAGATAAGGTCTCAGTTAGTTGCTGAGGCTGGCCTGGAACGTGTGATCCTCCTGCCTCGGCCTCCCAAGTTGCTGGGATTCCAGGCATGAGCTACTGTGCCTGACTGAATTTTCTCTCTATACAATTACAGAGCACTGGGCGGGGAGTTGAGTTTGAGTCTTGATTCTACCACTGACTGGTGAGTGAAGCAACCCAAGGCCCCCCAGAAAGGGTGAGCCGTCTACTTAAGGTCACACGGCAAGGAAAGACAGAGAAACACCCTTGGAGACTCAGTTTTCTCATCAATAAAATGGGAGGAAGTAACCCCTACGCTGTGGTGGACCACTGTCAGAGGAATAGCTGTGAATACTCTGGGCAAATGGTGGGAACACTATCTGTGTGCCTTCATGGAAAAAATAAATTTCAGCTGTTGTCTAGATTCTTTTACTGGGGCCAGAATTTGGGCGTCCTGTTATTTATGTAAGAGAAGAAGGCCACAGCTCCCAGAGTGGGGGTTTCAGTTGTACAGAATTATTTGCTGTGATGGCTGCTTGCTGTCACTGGACATTTGAGGAGTGTACCTCCAGCTGTCCTGGACACTGATTGGGTTCTCTCCCAGCCTCTGAGCCCTCGCCCTGTCACCCCCGGTCTTCTGTTTCCAGTGAGTGGCTCCCTCTTCTCAGTCATTTCAGACTCGTCTTTGATGGCTGCTAACAGCTCTCTCAGGCTGTCAGAGAGGTTTTTTTTTGGTTGGCCCAGTGATTTAAAAAAATGGGAAATTTTCACCAACATAAGAAATGCAAGCACTTCTAAATAGAAGTCCTCACGTTTGGCTCAGGGAGTCACGTGCCCCTACCTAAGGGAGTTGG